AGAGAGAGAGAGAGAGAGAGAGAGAGAGAGAGAGAGAGAGAGAGAGAGAGAGAGAGAGAGAGAGAGATCCAGAGATGGGGGGAAGGAGGAGGGAGAGAGCGCAGCGCTGCTGCTGCTACCATTTAATACCAACGAAGAAAAAACTGCCATCACGCGAAGACGGCGGCGGTAACTGGAACGCTCATCCGTGCACGCGCTTGGCAAACATAAGCCGTGCGGACTATGGAGGGACACCGCAAAGCTTTTGTGATCGATTTATTATTGCAAGAGGTTCCGTCACGTTTGCGCGGGGATCTAAATTGTGAAACTTGTTTTGCCAGATTGGTTGAAACGGCATTAAACCTGTTTCGGCGGGTAAAACAGACATTTTGTCATGCGAGTTAGCGCGACGAGCTCTCTTTCTCTTTCTCTCCGCTCCCACACCTCTCCCTTTTTTTTTCGCTCACTGCTTCTTCCCCCATCTCACCGTTTCTTATTGGCACATCCACTCTCTCTGTCTCCCTCCCAACCTCCCCTCTTTTTCTCGTACTGCTTCATATTCTCATTCTGGCTCTCTTCCTCACTCTCTTACTGCTTCTCTCCTCATCCCTCTATCATTTTTTCTCTCTCTCTCTCTCTCTCCCTGTGTCCGTGTGTGCATCTGTCTGTCTCTCTCTCTCTCTCTCTGTCTCTGTCTATCTCTCTCTCTACACACGCACACACACACGCACACACACACACATACATAAATATAAATAAATAAATGTGTGCATGTGACAGGCAGTGATTATCACACAAGGCTTATCATTGGCTGTGTGCAGCGTTCTAGTCTTCAGCTTGTCCAAATTTTTTATTTTGAATCATACAGTGTTGAACACATTATTTCTGTAATAATTCCCCTAGAATCAGGTGTGTGACTCAAACATCTGATAAATTAATCAGAAATGCGCACACGTTCAGAATAACATAGTAATATACAGAGATGATGAAGCGGTCATGGTCATGGCAGATAAATTTTGTATCGTATATGGGTCATTGCTGACTGAGCTACTGGAGCAATGCCCATCATGCCAATTCAAGTGCTCACTTGTGAGATATGCTGGGACCCTCAACACTGTTCGCCGGACATGCACAATGGGCCACACTAGCATATGGAGTAGCCAGCGGAGGAGCAACGACATGCCGCTAGGAAACTTACAATTAGCAGCAGCCATATTTTTTAATGGTTGCAGTGCAGCGAAAACTGTCCATATGCTGACATCTGTTGGTATTTGCTGCATTTCTGTAAATACGTACTTTCGATTGCAAAAGGCGACAAAATAAAGACTTACGCGTATGTCGACAGACAATGATGAGATATGATGGGTCACTGTTGCCATTACATGTTCTACTTATAGTGATAAACTAGCTAGCTAGGCTTATATGACTACTACACGTATTACATATATACTACTACTACTACTACATATATATTGATATACACACAATGTGATCAAGCATTGAAAGAAGTGCTCCGGTGAAAGTAACTGGGTCCATATAGAGGCCGTAAACGAAATGGTAATCTGATGTGGTTCCTAAATCGGCAGCATTGCTTGGTACAGCCCTATACTGTACTACTAGTGTAGAGATTTCGGTTACACTGAAGACTCGATTTCAAACCACAACACACGACAGGGCGCGGCCATGTTGGAATAACTAAAAACCTGGATCGGAAAACCAGGTAACACCCAAATCCCACTTAAGAAATCCATACACACAATCAAATGAGGGAAAAGTCGAGCCATAATAAAGGGCAGGTTAAAAGGATAATGAGTAAATAAATAAAACAATAATTAGAATCGAATACCAATGGAGAATTACTCGGACAGTGCAGCTGACATAACAGGGCTAAATGCGGCACAGCATGTAAACAAACGACCGCCTAGGCAGAGCACACCTATGAACCGGTATGAGGCAGAACACACCGGTGCATACCGGTATAAACTGGTAAGAAAGCGATGCCAGCTGAGAATACCCCTGCTTGCTGCTAGGG